TCCATGTCGACCTCCCAATTGAGTCTCAGATGCACTGAGCCTGCCCACTTGCGCATTCATATCTCCGGCAACCACCACAATGCCTGAGCTTTTAGCTCGCCACAGCAGAGCGTTCAGGGCGTCGTGAAACCTGTCTTTGACGGCGTCAGAGCCACAGTCAGTTGGGGCATAGGCAGACACCATAAACAGACGTCTATCAACTTGCCGCTTGTGAGACTCCTTCACAGACGTTGCCAGACGAACCGCACAGAGGCAACTATCAACAGGTATCCAGTCAAGCAATGATACTTCCGCCCGGTGACTTAGCACAATACCAACCCCTGCACATCCCACCGCAGCAGCCTCTGGATCACCAGAGCTGCGCAGCCGGAAGAGAGTGGAGACTGACGAAGCGGTTAACTCAATCACTGTGACTGCATCTTGAATTCAGGTTTCTGAGACACAGCACACATCAATGCCAAGCGAGTCCAGTGTGAGTGCAAGAGCAGCTTGTTGTCCTGCTTGCTTCAGAGTGCGGACATTGAACGCGGCCAGATAGACCGGGTGTCGAGGCTTGAGGACTGATTTGGAGATTCCTGAAGATGTCGGCACCCTGTGACGAGCAGATGCTGCACACAAAACCGATGCATGACGAACGGAGTCATCAGTCCTAAGTGCTGGGCCTACAACGAGAGAGTTATTAATTGGGTGGGGAGAGGTGGAAGAAAAAGTATGTGAAGGAGAAAGAAGGGAGGCGTCAGTAGTAGTCTGTTTTCGCCTACCCGCCCTGCTGTATGCAGCAAGTAAGACGACCCGGCTGATGGCACCACGCGACGGCCGATTTGGCATGAGTTTATTTGTACATGTGCAATTCATGGTTGTACGTGGGCTGGGATACTGCCAGGTCGCCCACACCCTTTTAACGTAACAGGTTGCCGTACGTATTCCTATCAATGACCTGGAGGACCAGGAAACTGTTCGCCAGACCTCTAACCATTGTCAAACCTCGTATGGGACTCTGTCGCGGGAACGGCTGGGATACTGCCAGGTCGCCCACACCCTTTTAACGTAACAGGTTGCCACACGTATTCCTATCAATGACCTGGAGGACCAGGAAACTGTTCGCCAGACCTCTAACCATTGTCAAACCTCGTATGGGACTCTGTGTGTCGCGGGAACACCTCCCGGGTCACCGAGGTACGCAAGGGTTCACATCACGGTATTGTTCAGCCTCTTCGTGACAGACCGGCTTGTAGTACAGTTAATCGTAGTATGAAGTCTGGTTGCTCACGTGCCTGTTTCACTTTGGTCTTCCTGGCATTGTTGCATCTTGCGAACGGAGTCCCATGCAGTGCAGTCCACAGGCTCACTGCAGCACTCAAGCCCGGCGTCCACAGCAGGGCGGTGGTCTTTGGTCGAGCCTTAAGACGTTTCGATAATTTTATCAAATGTCTCGATGAATTCACAAAACCGCCCAAAGCGGCGAAAACCTGGGGATGATTCTGTGTTTAAGATGTTCCGATGAGAAATGGGTGATCGACGGTTGGAGTTTCATACCCTTCGGATCATCCTGACTCCATGTAAATTATCATATCGAAACACATTAGTATTCTTACCAATTAATTGCATGAATGTTTTTGGGACGTCTTATGAAAGGCTTCAAGGACTGTCTCAATGAAAAAGCGACATTTATACAGAGGTCTAACGTAGGCAACAGAGCTTTGAATTTTAACCACATAGGGATGACAGCGCACTCCAGCGTTCGGTAACTTACGGAATACCATGTACTGCCAGGTTGTCCAGCAACATTACTTTCATGTTCCCACAATACCTAGTTGTATACACTGTCAAGCAGAAAATCAGCTGTTCGGGTTTTCCCAGCTTTTTTTCGTCCGCATATAACGTAAGTGAATGAGCTTTTGTTTTTCAGCAATCTCGATGGCATGACTGCCATGTTACCCGGGAGAAGCACGAGAACTGGGATACTGTCAGGTTGCCCAATCCATTTTGGTCGCTGACAAGATTATTCTGAGGGCCAAGCGAACGAATCAAGCGGAAAAGCCTGTGGGCGTCTCCAGCATTCTTCACATCTTCCATTGCTTCGGCCCTTATGCCCACCAAGCCTTTCGGTCTGCACGAACATTGAGTTTAATCTAGAGTCGAGTGATGTGTCGGTTTGAGTTTTGGTTGCGTATTAGTCTCGGTGGTATCGCGAAACTAGATATTGCCATTAGGATTGGAAGACCAGAGTGGCTTTCGTGAACCTGTATCACTAGTGGTGTGACATCTGCTTATCCGACAAGGATCGAGCTTTCAATGCTGCGGTGCGCTTCACATTACTATACGGATCAGAAACCAGGCTGCTGCGCGCCAAGGAAGTCAAAAGACTGTGTTTGACCATCGATGTCTTCGGAGTATTACCCGAGTCTGACGGGAACACCGGATCAATAACGCTGAAGCACGCTGAATAGTTCTCGGAATAACCCGTCTACGACGGACGAACTGATCACACTATGGGTTGCGCTGCCTTGGCCACATGCTTCGTATGCCAGTCGAAGGTCTTCTTTTGCACAACCACGTGAAGGGTGGAAACGAGGCCAAGTAATGACATAGCTGCGAAGTATGAAAGCCACTATCAGCGAACTCAGTTTCGCTGGCCGTTGCCGTCTTCCTGGGTGGGGACCGCGATACGGGACAACCAATGGTTAGAGCCGTTGTGTCAGATGGTAGAGTAGGGCCCTTAATTGCGCTCATGCATCCACGCTATCACTTTCAATATATAGCCACTCTCTCAATCTCTCCAATTACAAGTCCACTGACAACCGTGTTTAAGCACCAGTTATATCAGCTACTGTCTCCCATACGCAGCTACCTACCTCATCTCCCCAAACCGCCAGAGGACGGAACTGTGGCAGCTACAACCAAGGTACAACAAGTACGCGGTTCTTACAGCTCCTGGGATGACAAAGACGACTGATTGCGGGCAGGAAGAATCTGTCGTCGGGCCGCCAGCAAAGCCACGATCCTATAAGAGATCAAATATTTGGGTTGTACCGACCTCGAGTGTCATTTTGGATGTTTACAGCGGCCGCCAATATATTACATTGAAATGTTCGGCAGGAGTTCCAGGATTGGGGTTCTGATAGGCTCGTTTGGCTTCTGGATCTACGAGGTTCTCAGTGGTTAGCTGGCGAGTGGGCATTTTGCGTGGACCTGAAAAGCTAAATGAAAAGCAGCAGCGTACAAGCGCATGGTCTGAATCCACTTTTTTTCAGGAGGGCCATGCAGTCATCGACCATCGCTACCAGTAACTGACGGCAATGTAATCTATTCGGATTCGGGGCTGGTTAGCTGGTGGGCACCAAGTTGTCAAGTTATTTCCACTATTTTGTAAACTGGTATTCCAAGGAAACAGTTTGAGCGGCACATATATGAAGCAGGTGCTTCCTGGTGTCCGTGTCTTGCATTCAGCCCAAGGCGACTACCCAATTGGGCCTCAGCAGCGTCTAGTCTGCCTACCTGAGTGTTCGTGTCACCAGCAACCACAATGATATCTGAACTTTTAAGCCGTTGTAAACGGGCACCTGGAGCGTTGTAGAAAGTGTCCTTGACAGATTCAGAGCTACAGTCCATTGTGGAAGCAAACAGACATAACAAGCAGGGTGTGATAGACCTCACTTTCTCGAGATCCTCTCACAGACGTTCCCGAACGGATCATGCATACGGCATTATCAATGGGCATTCAATCAAGCACAGGCGCTTCCGCTCGATCGCTCAATACAATGCCCACCCGGGCATATCCAACTGCGACGGCCTTTGCAACACCAGGGTTGCGTTGCCGGAACCTGGCAGTCGGTCTAATTACAGTACTTGCGTCCTGCATCCTTGTTTCTGACAAACAGCATACATCAATGCAGGGGGAATCCAGTGTATGTCCGTTTGAAAACAGACTTCAGACTTCAAAATGTTTAGGGTTGTCATTGAAATCGGATGTACAGAAGACGCAGCCGAGTGCAATGTGTGAGGAGCGAAGAGGCCAGTCCTAGCGCTGAGACCCGCGGGGAGAATAATCAAATTGGGGCGGGGTAAGTTGGACAGAATAGGTGAAAGTATAAGAAATGCGTCAGTAGTAGTCGGTCACGCACCGTTGTATGCATCAGGTAAGGCGACCCTACTGGTGACACCACGTAACACCCAACGAGGCATGAGTGTAGTTGTACCACGGTTGTGCTGAGATACTCCCAGGGCGCCCAGATCTAGATGAGGAGAAGATTTTGGCTCTTAACCAAAGCTCTTGGTTCAAAAGTATGAACGCAAATGAAACGCAAGTATATTACCACTTTTATGAAACAAATCGCAACACATGTTCTAATCCCCAACCTGATGAACCAAGGGACTGTTTTAGTCATACCTTTAACCACTGACCAACCTGGTATGGGAGGCTGAGTGTTGCACGGACACTACCCAGTGTGGATCAATAGATCACGGGGGCACACAGCGGAACGTTCATTCCGTTTTTAATGGATCTGTGTTGAGACATTCTTGAACCTAACGTTTAGCCAAGGCAAAACTAGGAAACCTGATAGTAAATTACCATGAAAAAGCAAAGCATAAAAGTGCCTCTTACCTTTCCATTACTTTGGCGATATATGGGAGTTGCATTTCAACCGAGTGCTCTTCTTCGTCACTGGCAACAGACAGGCGAAGGAACTCCCCTGAACGTCCAAGTTCCTGATATACTTGGGATGATTATCTCTAAGTATTGCAAAAACCTACCATCCTTGTCTATCTGTAGTGAATACAAAGGTGTTTCGAAGACATCAACAGAGGATAGCGCACATTTACCACTCATGCCAAGATAATGAGATGGGCCAAGTATAAAGAAGCGTTTCCTATTAGGCCATAAGATGCAATGACACGACATACACATTATCAGGGCATATTTGATTATACGCGAACGCAGCTGTAGGACCTGAGTAATCATAACCTGCGTGTCTGAAGGTGAGAAATGAATGAGCACAAAACGGTAATACGGGGAAATAATGGCGCGCGAATGCCGTCTATCTGTGGAGGCCCCGGATAACCACTCAGAAAGTTGAGCATTCAATTTTTTATCTATATCAAGCGTCTATTGATCATGGTGAAACTTACGATCCCTCGAGTACCAACTGCCGGCATGAACATCGCGGCGGGTACCGCCAGTAGCGTTCATTTCCGTATCTAGCACGGATTCACGGATTGATACACACTATGGAGGCTTTTGCCCAAGTTTCCCGGGTCGGTTTTGTTCTTGTCGGTCAGTGGCTGTCGTTCACCTGAAAGGCACAAGTGAAAAAAGAGTGTAGCACTGCTCTTTATGTTCTCAGCGCGGGGCAGTATGCTCGCCAGCGCAAGCATTCGCATAAATAAATGTCTAATAGTGCTTTAAATTGGGTTCGAGAAGGAGCGTGTACAACCGTCGGAGGAAGGTCATTCCACGCAGCTACTACCCGAAATGAAAAAAAGTTTTGTCTAATGAATGTGTGTGCCCTGAGCTTGAAGATTTTCTTACTATGTCC